CGGAGAGAATCTTGTTATTTAGGACCCCCCCCCTCGTTCTGGTTTAACCGACTCCCCTCCTCTCTCTCTTGCCCCATATTAGAACCCGATGATGAAAGCGGATATGACGTTTTAGCAAACCCCCCGGGTCCTGAAGACCAGGATGATGACGATGACTCCTACAGCGACGTGTTTGAATTTGAGTTTTCAGAAAGCCCCCTCTTGCCGTGCTACAACATCCAAGTGTCCGTTGCTCAGGGGTGAGCATGGCTCTCGGCTGGGGCCACATGTGGGTGGCGGGGGTGGGGGAGAGGCCCCCTGTAAGCACACGGGTGGGTGGGTGAGTTCTCAAATGTCCATGGACCTCAGATACTGCCATCAGCCTCTTCCACAAAGAGCACGCATCCGCTTGATGAGGCTGACCAGGATGGCGCAGCAGAATACAGATAGCTCTCAGTTGAAGAAGGTTCCAGTCACCCTCGCGAGACCAAGGGGCATTGAAGTCAGTAGCTAGAATTTCACAGAAGAGTCAGCATTCTGGATACTTGAGTCACTGAGCACTTTGGAAAGGGGTTCCTGGTAGGCACCACCTTCTTCAGACTCCAACAGGTCACCATAGGGCCCTCCCAGTCGTTTGAGGTCTGATGGCCTTCAGTGACATACTACCTTCTCACCTAAGGATATGTGACACTGGGGAATCTTGATCCTCAGATTTGGTTAGATCCAGTCTGGCCCCTGTGATCTGGGTAGTTAGTGTCTTGGGGTGTCCAAGTCAGGCTGCTGTGCCTTCATGCTACCAAAGGTGCTTCATGAGTAAGGTGGTTCTCAGACTCTAAAGCTGTGAACATGTATGCCATCACAAACAGTGACGGAAATCGGAAAGTGTGGCAGGGTGTACATAAGGAATGTAACACCTTCTTAAAATGTCACTCCAGAAAGATTGAGGGATAGAGGGTGGGATGTGGGCCTACTGTGTTTGTCATGCTCTGTTGGTGAGAGTCTGGGGAGACGACAAAGAGGTTGGGACGCGGACTTGCTTCCCCCAGTAACAGGGACAGTGGGCGATCAGCTGGATGAGCAGGACTCAGCCAGTTAATTTCCATCAGCAGTGGAAGCCCTGAACCTTCTTAAGTTGATGTTTCTTTAGAGACAGGGTCTCGCTGAGTTGCTTAGGGCCTCAGTAAATCACAGAGTCTGGCCTCCAACTTGCCATCCTCCTGCCTCAGCCTCCCCAGAAACTCACCCGCTCGTCTTGCTCTTTTGCAGGCCACGGAACTGGCTGCTGCTTTCCGACTTGCTCAAGAAGTTGAAAATGTCCTCCCGAATATTCCGCTGCAATTTTCCCAATGTGGAAGTCGTCACGATCGCCGAGGCAGAGTTCTTCCGGCAGGTTTCTGCGAGCCTCTTGTTCTCTTGCTCCAAAGACCTGGAAGCCTTCAACCCCGAAAGCAAGGAGCTGCTGGATCTGGTGGAGTTCACCAGCGAGCTGCAGACGCTGCTGGGCTCGTCCGTGGAGTGGCTGCACCCCAGCGACACAGCACCCCAGGACTACTGGTGAGCGCGCAGGCGCCCCATGTACAGTGTGTCATAGTGTCAACCCTTGTGCATATGTGTCATAATACGACTATTTCTGTAAAGAAAGGACACTATTACATATGAAAATATCTCTTCTTTATATAAGAGAAATTACTCCAGTCAGAAGGACTTAGAAACCTGTTCTTTTCTTTTTAATCTTTTAAGTCGGTTTTTACGAAGTTGTTATAACGTTTCTTTACTTTCCAGTGCTTTGAGATATGTATGTTTTTACTTGGAACATTTGTTTGTTTTCTGTTCTTTTTTAAGGAGAAAAAAAAAACTGTCAAGGAGCTCACACTTTGATTTCATTTCATACAAAGCTCTGGTGACGCGGTGGGTAACCGTGTCACGTGTGGTCAGGACCGTGTGGTTGGTTTGCAGGGGCGCATTGGGTGAAGGCACTTGGTGGAGTTGTACCTTTTATGTTTTGTTTACAGAGCACCTGCTCGGGCCAGGTAAATGCTACTGGATGAGATCCAGTAGTGTGTAATATAAACCCAAACCATATCCACACACAACAACTAATTGTATGAAACTTTTATATCCTAATTTAAAAGCTGTGAAATTAGTTTTCACGCATCAAACCGGATTGTTTATATGTTTAAACATTTTATGCTCTTATTTAAAGAAGACTTTGAGCTATTTTTTTCTGTACTCTGTAAAATATTGAAAACTAACATAATATGTTGAGGTTGCTTGAAGATGTACATAAAACTAAAATTTTCTGGATTGTGTGTTTATGTTTGAAATCTGTGTTTTAACTTTGTAAGTAAATTCTCTGCCTTTGTATTTATATTTTACAAAAATTTTCTTAAAAGGCAATAAAACTGTTGAGGAAAGGAGAAAACGGTAGTATCTTGCGTCCTATGTATTTTTAAAGGGTGGTGGTGGTTGTGGGTAACAGGTTGATGATCATTTCTCTATGGATAACTTTTGAACCACTTATAGTCTCCCATAAACCAAAGTGGAAGCCACAAGCCTGTAATCCCAGTGACTCAGGAGGCTGAGGCAGGAGGATCTCAAGTTTGAGACCAGCCTCAGCAACTTACTGAGGCCATAAGCAATTTAGCGAGACCCTGTTCTCAAAACAAAAAGGGCTGAGGATGTGGTTCAGTGGTTGAACACCACTAGGTTCAATCCCTAGCACCAAAAAAAAAAAGAAAAGAAAATTGGAATACAAGATTTCAGAGGAATCGCCTTCAGAGTAGGATTCAGAGTCCTATTCCAGGAGTGCAGTTCTTAGATATCAATCTTTGTCCTTGGTTCTTCTCTTCCCGTTCATCTCCTTTGATGCCTTGGCAGGCTCTTGCATTGCATTTGACCTTGGCCTGCAGCAGTCCCGCATCATGGCTGTTATATCTCCCAAAAGTTTGTGTTTGAGACAATGCAAGAAGGTTTACAGGAGGATGAATCCCCTGATAGGATGAACTGAGTGGTGACTGGAGGCAGGTGGGGTGTGGCTGGAGGAGGTGGCTTTGGGGTCTATATTTTGTGTCTGGAGAGTGGAATCTCTGCTTCCTGATCATCAACATGAGCCGCTTCCCTCTGCCACACTCCATGATGTCCTGCCTCACCTCCAGCCCTGAGGAGTGGAGCCTGCTGTCTATGGACTGAGACCTCTGAAACTGTGAGCCCCAAATAAACTCTCTTTTTGAAATCATTCTCATCAGGTCTTTTCTGACCAAAACAATGGCCAGCCCTTGATCTTCAGGGCAGGGGAGCTGGGTTTCTCCTGAACCCCCATATTTGCTGGCCACTCCCCCTTCTGGCTTCCTTTGGTTGTGTGGCCCTTAGCTTGCCTGGCCCTCAAGTGAAGTTGAAGAATCTGCTCTGGGCACTGTCACTTGGCCCTTGATTTCATGCCACATCTCTTCAACACCTGTCCTTCATTGCAGGGTTTAGAAGGCTGGAACTACTTGCTTCCCTTGCAGCTAGGTTCTCCAGCCATGTTCCCTTGGGAGGGCTGCATGGGGTGGAGGCCCCTTCCTGGTTCAGTGGCTGCTGGGCCATGCATTCAGTGAGATGCAGGCCCCATCACCAGTGCTAGGATTCCAGACTTTTCCTTGACTGGTTCCTTTAGCCCTTCCACAAACCTGATAAACATCATGACGTCAGTTGTTGCATCATATTGATGTCCCAAATGTCCTAAATGCCTTCCCATCCTGCTCAGATCCCAGAGAACTCTGAGGCAGAAAGGGACAACTGGGTCACTGGAGAGGCCATGGGCACACTGTGTGAGTGGAATCCTGAAGTGCACAGGGGATGGG